TTTCTTACGTAAGGTCCAATCAACATTTGGCAACATCCTATGAAGAAAAGTTTATCTTTATACTCAGTAATGGTGGTGAAAATCACTGGATCATCATTGATGACACTGCTTCTCAATAAGGCTACGTATAAGGAAATCATGGTCATTGCAGATCCAGGTAAGAAACCAGGAACACTGGCTCTTTGTCATTCTCATTGGTATCAAGATCCATTGGCTGACATTTCAAGTTCCTATATTGCCTAGAGCATTTGGGGAATTATGTCAGGTTTTCTCTACTGTTTCTAGAAAAGTTTTGGACCACTCTTTACCAGAGGATCATGGGTTACCAGACTAGCACTCTTCAGAAAATACAGTTCTGAGTTTTATGCACATGATTATATAATAGACACTATTTACAAGGCTCCCCATTCCAGGCTGCCACCTATACTGTTGGGTGGACCAGAAATCTGGGTTCTCAGATAAGTTTTGGTCAACATTCTACTGAAGGGGTTCATTCAACTACATATTTTCCTACACTAGTGGTCTTCATTAGGGAGAAAAATAAAAGAGAGAGTTTTGGTTCTAGATTACCAAGCTCTTAAGATGGTAACTTTATAGGATATATGTCGTAAACCAGTTGTGGGAGGCCAAGGTGCAAAGCTGAAACTCTAGGAGGTACACAACTTGAACCCCTTCACAGAGGCAATTAATGGAAGAATGTCTTCCAATCTAGCTAGGGCAAACTATTATGCCCTCCTGGCTTAGTAACGCTCTCGCCAACTTAAGCAGTTTCATAAATTTCATTTTCCCAAACCTCCTAGATTGGGGTTCAGTTGAAGGTATATTGGGACAATATTTTAATATATTCTCAAAATCCCCTAATCCTCTTATGTCCCTTTGTAATAGAAACCTACCTCACAGTGTTGTTATGAGGAAAGCACTTTGAAAACTTTAAAGGGTTATATAAATGTCATCTATTATAATTGTTGTTCTCTAATGCATCAATTAGAGCCCTCTTCTCTCAGCTTGACTTGAAATATACCCTATGACATCCTCAATATACTACTACTCACTACTACCTCAATAGAGTCATTTGGCTAGTGGTACCATTTGGTGGCCAAAAATATATATATACTACATTTCCCTGAAATGCTGGGCTAAGGAATTTGGAGTTTATTTTAGTAGGAAATAGAGAAGGTTTTTAAGCAGTATAATTACATGATCATATTTGTATTTAAGGAATATTATTCTGGCAGCAATTTGATAAATGTACCAGATAAAAGGAGGAGAGTCAGACTGAAGCTGGAGTAGCCAAATAGGAGGTCACTGCAGTAGTCCAAGTGAATGATAATGAATGCCTATTCTAAAATGGTGACAATAGGAATAGAAAGTGGAAGAATATTGCAATATATATCATGGAGATTGGGTTTTAGGGAAGAGAGTGATAGGACACACTCTCTTCAAACTATAAAACACTGGAAAAGCAAAGAAGAGCATTGCCAGAGGAGAGAAAAATAAAAATAACCTCCCTTCTCTCTTTGAAAAGGCAGGGCACATTGAACACAGAATACACAGGTGAGGTGTTGGTTGAATTTTTTTTCTCTTTCTTTTTAAATCTTTGTTACAGAATCACTGAATCACAGAACTAGAGAGTTGGAAAGAGTTTCACCAGGCTTCTCATACAACCCATAACAGAAAGGACTCCCTACAATAACATACCTATCCAGTGGTCATCCAGCCTTTTCCTGCAGACCTTCAAGGAGCAGGAACCCAAAACCTCTTGAAGCAGCCCATTCCACTTTCAGACAGCGTTTGGGCAGGTTTTGTTTTTGTTGTTTGGTTTGTTTTGTGAGGTTATTCTTTGATCACTTGTCTTATTTACTCCTCTAAGATTGATCTATTTAAATTGTTAGTTTTGTTTCTTTTAGTAATTTATATTTTTTTGCAGTCAATCATCTATTTGTTTTAAGGTCTATAATCATTAGCATATGGCTGCCCATACTATTCTATATGTAACAGGGGACTGGACATAGAGGTCTTAGTCCTGGGAGTGTGGGCAAAGAATCCATATTGATGTTTGGTGGCTTGCTTCTGGAAATGTTTGATAATGTGGAATGGAAGGGCCTGATTCTTCACTTCAGATCAGGTATTCAGGTATTCTCTATTTCCTGTTGGCTTTTCATGATGACAGTCTTTTGATGGGCTTGTGAACTGGAAATAATTGTGCATATAAGAGGCACTAAGCCTTGAAATTGAGCTCTGGTGCCAAGCAAGGCCAGAATTGCTGAAGGCCTCCTGGTGGGGTAGGAGTCTCTGGCTCTCCCTATGCAAGTACAACGTGGGCTGAAACATATAGTGACTATGTTGGTTCTTTCCCTGCTGTATCTATTTTTCCTGTTCTTAGAAGAAGGAAGATTGGAAGTATAGTAGGGACTTTGTGAGCTTCAAAAGGTTGAAAGAGCTAAGATATCTTCCCAGAAGCTATAGCTACCACATTCCTGAGGGGCAACCTACTTGACCCAGCTCAGCAGTGGATAGACCTGGAAGCCAAGATGCCTTGTCCTGCAAGCAAGGGGACTAGTTATCCAACATCTATACTGTTTCTGTAAGCGAACTTTGTGGGAAAATGATTTGTAGTAAATGCTTTAAGTTTGACCCAATCTCCACAGGGACTGAGGTTCTGAGGTGAGTGTACTCCCCTTACTCTACCCCTCACCCCAGTTCAAGGAAGTGTGCTTGTACTTCTGTTCTTGCTCTGTCTTCTAGGTAGATATCCCTTTTATAAAATGCAATTGATTTTCATTGGCTATTCGATATTGAAGAAATATGAATTGGTTAAATTAGTAGCGGTATGCTAATCAGTATTATCAATGAAATTGTGAAGGTATTAAGTGGTGTTTGATATTGGGGTGGGGGGATATTAGAATGGGACAAGCTAAAAGCATTAGAAGAATGCTTCCACCCTTGAGGGACACCCCCACAAGTCTAGGGAGAGAATGTAGTCAGACACATTCTGAGAACTTAACCTGCAATTCCCTGGTCAGGTTTTGAGAAGAGGCCCAGAGTCTACATGGACCACATCTGGTATCCTTAATTTTTTTCATATTTATTATGATTTTCCCTTTTTCATTTAGAATTTTGTTGATGTACATCTTTTGCTCTTGCAACACACAAGAAACTTCTTTCTCCTCCTATGCATGTATCAGCCTTTATCCTTTCCCTTTCAACATAATGGGAAAAAGGCTACCCAAATCTTATCAATGTAAACTTCCAATATTATTAGCATTAAATAAAAAAGGTCGTTTTTCATAGAGATCGAAATAAAGATGGTAGATAACATGAGAAAACATTTCCATGAATTCTAGTTTGTATTTGTATCCAAATTATTCAACTGTGTATAGATAACTTAGCAGCAAGACGGTCTTAGGTAATTTCTATCTTTATTAACAACAATCCATTTGACCAAAAGACTGTGCTAACTCTCTGAGGCTCAACACTCTAAACTGGCATGCTACCATTATTCTGTAGGGAGTACATGTTGCACTTTAGTCCCAAAAAATGGATCTGTGATACTTTACTGGCAATTATTCATATACTTAGGAAATTTCTTCTATTGTTGAACTGAATACCTCCTGTAGTTTCACATACATTTTAGGAATGAGGCAGTATCTTAAATTCTTGTAATAGTGTCTTGCACATTCTGAGACACTGAAAGAGTAGCTGTTGATTAATTTTTGCAGCTTTTCGTTATTGAGGGTATCAATCTAGAAAGCATTTATTAAGTGCCTACTATGTTCCAGCCACAGTACTAGACACTTTGGATAGAAAGAAAATAATTTCCTAGGAGGTGATATTCATTTTGCTGGAGAAACATTTTAAGCATATAAACCAATTCCAAATATATATGTAAAAAATACAAAATAATTTTGAGAAGCCACGGTCAGTCTTGTGCTTTAGGAACACCATTTGGTAGCTCTATCAAGAATAATTGGAATGAAGGAAAACCTTTGGCCAGGGAAACCAATCAGGAGGTTATTGCAATAATCCTAGCAAATAGGACCTAAATTAGGCTAGAAGCTTGTCAGTGGAGAAAAGGCAGACAGATGGGAGGTGGAATTAACAAGACTTAACAACTGATTGATGGGAGGGGGGACTGAGAGTGAAGAATTCTACAATTTCTCAAAAGATCCACTTGTTATTTGTATAAAAATTAAGGCTTCTGGGACACCCAAAGCTGAATAGTGCAGCAGATATAGAGCCAGACCTAGGGTCAGGAAGATCCCAGTTCACATTCTTGGCCTCAGACATTGTGTGGCCTTGGGCAAGTCACTTGACCCGTTTGCCTCAGTTTTCTGATTTGTAAATAGGGAGTAATAATAGCACTTACCTCCCTGGATTGTTGCAAGGATCAAATGAGATAATAAGTGTAGAGATTTTCACATTGTAAACACGTTATAAATGTTTATTATTAATTACATTACCCTATTTTTTTCAGATAGCCTGAATAAATTCCCCCCTCCTAATTATCCAAAAAATTTAGAAAAAATTAGAATGTTTTTCATTCTTGAATACTTGTTTTTTCATAAGTTCACACAAAAAAATAACATTAAATTTAAAAAAAAAAAGCTTTAAGGATAACTCCTAGATTGTCCATGTGGGTGACTTAGGAGGCTGGAAGTGTTTTCGACAGAAATTTAAAAAAAAGTAGGGTTTGGTGGGGTGAGGGTAGATAAGTTCTGCTCTGGACATTTCTACTTTGAAAGCAAACAGCACAGCATTAAAATTCGTTTAATTCAGAGGGCTTCTCCTTCCAAAAAATACCCGGATATTTTTAAGAAGACAAACACACAAAACCACAGCGGCCAGGCTGGGGAGGGGAGGGGAGGAGCGGGGCGGGGCGGGGTGGGTGGGGTGGGGTGAGGTGGGTGTAGGGGGGAGTGGAGCCGTGTCACGTGGGCCCTCTCTGCCCTCCCTCCAGTCTCTCCCCGCCCCTTCCCGTCCCTCCCCGCTCTCTCCTCGGCCTGACTACGCGTTCCTGTTAGAGCGGAAGTGTTTGTCCCTCGGTGCAGTCCGTCCGCCTCGGCTGGCTGACGTAGAATTGGGCTGACGTGTCGGCGGTTGTTGCGGTGGGCCGGGCAGAGCCGAACCGGGCCGGACAGCGCCGCGGCCACTATGGCGGAGGCGTGGGACGAGATCCGGCGGCTGGCAGCCGACTTCCAGCGGGCGCAGTTCGCAGAGACCACGCAGAGGTGCACACTTTGACCCTGACCCTCACCCCCGCTCTCCCCAAATAGCCTCACTTAGGACTTGGGCTCGCGGCGGCCTCAGGGTCGCCAGGGCCCCGTTCCCCGAGGCCCGGCCCCTGGTACCCCGAGGCGTCCCCTAGCCCTTCTGGAGGCCGCGTTTGGTCCCCTCCTTCTCTTTACTCCCGGGCCCTGCCAGTTCACACCTGTCATTTCACCTGCGGGTGGGGGAGGGTCCAGTTGCATCATCAACTGTTGTCTTTTGCACGCACTTGTGCGGTAAAATTTCCTCCCAGACCTTTGTGTGTAATGGACAAAATGACATAATAATCAACAACCATAATACTAATAATAGTAATAATCCATGTGTATTGGGGCAGCTAAGTGGTGCAGTGGGTAGAGTGCATCTTCCTAGACTCTTCCTGAGTTCAAATGTGGCCTCAGACACTTACCAGCAGTGTGACCTGGGCGAGTCACTTAACCCTGTTTGCCTCACGTTTCCTTCATTTGTAAAATGAATTGGAGAAGAAAATGACAAACCTTTCTAGTATCTTTGCCAAGAAAACCCCAAATGGGGGTCATGAAGAGTTGAGCAGACTGAAACGACTCAACAACGGCAAAAAAGTGCTTTCCCCAAAGCAGTCGTGTGAATATAAGTGCTTCTGCCCTTATTTTAGAATTAAAGAGACCAACTCTCAGAACGGCTTGAGTGTCCAAGGCCAGACCCCAGTCTAGGTTTTTTGTTTCTTGAGACCGGCCCTCTTCACCACGCCGACCTAGCTACTTCAAAGAATGACATCATAGGACTTGACATTGGAAGAAATGGCCTTGTGGGTTATTTAGTGGGCTTCTCTTAATTGTACAGATAAGAAGACTGAGGGCCAGAGAAGTCATTAAGGGGAAGAGAGATGACGTTTGTCCTGCTTGTCCACACCTAGCAGAAGTAGGAGCAATGCTGGTGGAACTGGCTGAGGCAAATTTAGGTTTGATGTGAAGGGGCAGCTTGCTGACCATTAGAGCTGTACAGAACTTAAATGGGCTGACTCAGAAGCCCCACAGTGGAGGTCTTCAGCCAGAGATTGGATGACTGCTTTTGAGAGTTGTCATGGGTTCTTTTGGCCATCTGGTGAAGCCTATGAGCCTTTTGTCAGAATGATTTCAATAATATTAAAATTATTAATAAATAACAAATAAATATAGGTATCTAAATACATTAATGTAGAATATATTAGTGTGTCAGCATTTTATATGTGTGTGTGTGTGTGTGTATATATGTATATATATATATAATATATATAACCAAGGAAATAAATTTATTGAAATGTAATAATCAAAATATTTTTATAAAACCAGTTCAATACTCATAGGTTAAGACCCTTTGACCTAGTAGAATCAAATTTTAGAGCTTAGAGGAAACCATCAAGGATACTCTTCTGCTTTTATGGATTCAAGAAATTGAGTCACAAATGATTAAATAATTTGTCCAACCTCACATTGCTAGTTAGTAGTAGTATTGAAAGTGGAAAGCCTATAGCTCTAAGATAATCTACTTAAGTATTGTTCTAAATACCCTAGGGTTCAGAAATTGCTTAGGTAATTAAAACATTAACAGTATCATTAGACTGAGTTTTCTATATACTGGGTGAAGTAAAACATTGCAGCATGCAACGTATAAGTTTAATTTAAAGCGTTAAGCTTTAATAGCTTAAAATTTACACTGTGACTTTTGGGATAACTTGTATTTTCAGATAGCCTGAACAGAAATTACTTTTTTCCCTACAGTTATCCAAAATATTGAGAAAAATAATATCGTTTTTATTCTTGAATTGTTTGATCTTGACTTGACATTCTGCTTTGAATGAAGGGAACCAAGGTAAACATCAGGCTATGGAGAGAATTAATTTGAAATGTATGGTATAATTCACAGGTACAAATGGGCCAAGTAAATGATAAAGCATTTCAACTAACTTACTTTAAAGAATTAAAAATTTGAAATCAACTTTTTTTTGGTACTAGTTAAAATATTCAAATTGTAAAATTAGACCAATAGCTATTATCTAAACAAGATTCTTAGTGTTTATGTCATTATAAATATATATTATCAAAAATTATTTCTATTCAAGAAGTGGTATCAAAGCTACTACTGAGGATGAGTATTCAAATACTAGAATAGAGTAAGGGCTTAGTGGTGAAAAGTCCAAATGTTGTGCTTGAATCCATGAAATGTTAACAACTTAGAGGAAGATTTTTTTCTAGTATATTGAGTGTAGAGCCTCTAAAGAAAATTTGTGGAGAGTCATGGACAAGAATCTTACAGGCTGAGAATCCATGGATAGCCTGTGATTTGCATAGGTGGATGTAGTACCAACACCAATGAGTTTATGGGTCCATCAAAAAATCTTTTTAAAATGGACATCTTTCCCTATTTTCCACAGGTTATCAGAACGGAACTGCATTGAAATTGTAACTAAATTGATTGCTCAGAAGCAGTTAGAAGTGGTTCATACACTTGATGGTAAAGAATATGTTACTCCTGCTCAGATAACTAGAGAAATGAGGGATGAGCTTCATGTTCGTGGTGGTAAGTGCCCTTAGATTTTACTTCCTTCTCTCTTTAAAATTATTCCAACAATAATTATGAAGTAGTCATTTAGAAGGGCAGCTAGGTGGCACAGTGGATAGAGCACTAGCCCTGGAGTTAGGAGGGTCTGAGTTCAAATTTGGTCTCAGACATGTAGCACTCACTCGCTAGTCTGTGACCCTGGGCAAGTCACTTAACCCCATTGCCTAGCAAAAAAAAAAAAAAGGAAGAGTCATTTAGAGCTCATAATAAAATTTCCGCAATATTATTTGCTAATATGACAGTCACGTGATTAAAAAAACCTTATTGGTAGAAATAAAAATGTGAAAATATAATTGAAATTATTTTAAATGATCATTACAGAGCTGCAAAATCACATCTATTTGGTAAATATAGTGTATTTTAAATGCTAAGTTTCAATTTATTTTGCATATTTTTCTTAATTTATTTGCTTTGTAACTGAAAGTAAGCCATTCAACTGCATTGTATCACTATATTATCTATAAGGTAGATCTTATCTGTAAGCTACTTGATAATTGTGAGAGAACCAGTGATTTAAGTAATTTTGGGGAAAATCTGCTAGTAAGCATGTCAAAACATGATTTTTTTTTCACCTGTGAATTATACGTCTGCAAATAAAGGGACTGAGAGGTGTTACAGTGGAAAAAACATTGAAGTTTGGAGTCCAAAATTCATATCCTGGTTTTGTTATTTACTATATGAGTTTGGACAAGTCATTTAGCTCTGTTAAAATAAAAGGGGGGGGATTGAAATAGATGAATGGTCTCTAATGTTCTTTGCATCTCCAAGCTTTATTTCTGTGTAAGTTCAGTGCAAAGTATTTTATTCTAAGAAAATCACAATATCTGTGCATAACGAACTTAAATTTCAAGGATAAAAAAATGCTGCCTTTTCCCTTTGCTTTTCATTTTAATTTTAGCCAAACAGTGGTAAACATTTAGAAAAGAAAACCTTTCCTCAGCTGCTTCCTAGCCTTGGACATGCACTTTTTAAGTGATAATTCTGAGAAATGGCCAAAGTGTGCTCTTCAGATTTTAATTGCTCTTTTATGATTATATTAGTAGTAATAGCCAGGCCTTTCTCTCCTTCCCCAAAAGCTGAATTTCCCAAGAAGTTAAAATAATATTTAATATCAACACAGCATTAGTGATACATATTATTTGTTTGTTGTAATTTCTTCTCGAAGAGAACTAGAGGATTATTTACATTCTGAAAACTGAATTCACTATTCCCTGCCCCCCATCTGCTGCTGCTTATTCCCTATTTCATTTCAAAGTACCTCTCTTTCCGGTTGCCCATAGTCAGTTATCATTGACATCTCTCTCTCCCTCATTAGCTTCTTAGTTACTAAATTAAATTGGTTACTAAATTATTTTACTTCTTCCTGCACAATATAATAAGAACAGCTGTCATTTATGTAGCACTTTAAGGTTTGCAAAGGGCTTTACAGATGTTTTCTTTTATCTTCACAACAACCCTGAGAGGTAGGTGCTTTTATTATCCTCATTTTACAGATGCAGAAACGGAGGTAGAAGGAGGTTAAGTGACGCATTTGTGGCTGGGTTTGCACTCACGTATTATTTACTTCAGTTGCATTGCTCTATCCACTATGCATCCTAGCTGCTCTCAATATGTTTCATATCCTTCCCTTCCTTTCTATTCCTGCTGCCCCTACAGTAATTTAAATACTCATCACTTCTCACCTGGACAGTTGCTTTAATCTTAACTGTTCTTCCTACTGCTTTTCTCCTCTATCACCAGTGTTTCCTTTTTGTAGCTGCCAAAATAATATTTCTAATGCCCAGGCCTGACCATACTATTCCTCTGCTGAAAAACCTTCAGTAGAGCTTCATTAGCTAGTAAAAATAAACTGGTCTTGGAGTTGGAAGCCCTGGGGTCAATTCTAGCTGACACTTCCTAGTTGTGTAGTCACTTCATTTATTTAGACCTTATTTTATTTATCTGTAAATTGAGGAGGTTGGCCTAGATCAGTGGTGGCAAACTCAAATAGAAACACTACTGCTGACAGCATATTGACTTAGAAAATCACAAATTAACATTACCTATATTGTATTTTTATTTATTTTGTTTAACATTTCCCAGTTAAGCCACAAGTTTCACTCCTCTCAACTAGCTGAGTTCTGAGGTTCATTTGCCTCTAACATTACGATTCTGTGAATGCAAATTAAAACAGTTTATCCTGATTTTATTGTTTTATCAATTCTATCTAACTACTTCCTTTCACATTAGGTGCATTAATATTGTCAGTGCAGAAACTTTTCAGTTTTATTTAATTATAGTTATCTGTTTTATCAGGGCAGCTAAGTGGCGCAGTGGGTAGAGTGCTAGGCCTGGAGTCAAGAAAACCCAAGTTGAAATCTGGCCTTCAGACACTTATTAGCTGTGTGACCCTGGGCAAGTCACTTAACCCTGTTTGCCTCAGTTCCTTATCTGTAAAATGAGCTGGAGAATGAAATAGCAAACCATTCCAGTAATTTTGCTAAGAAAACCCCAGAAAGGGGTTACAAAAAGTTGGACACAACTGAAACAACTAAACGACAAAAATCTATTTTATCCTTCAGAATTTCCTCTGTCTCTATTTTGGTTAAGAATACATCTCCTACTCATAGCTTTGAGAGATAGATAAACTGCTTCTCTTCTAATTTTTTTTAATAGTATGATCTTTAATATTAAGATCCCTTATCCATTTAGAAATGGATTGTGGAGTATAGTGTAATGTGTCAGTCTAAATCTAATTTCTGCCAAAACACTTTCCAGTTTTCCAAAAAAAGTTTTCTTTTTGCTTTTATCAAATTGGAAATTCTTTCCTAGATAATTTATGTTTTCTGCTTTATCAAACATTATGTCATTGCATTCCGTTGTTTCTGATTCTCCCATGTCTAGTCTAACCCCTTTATCTTTAATACTAGATGCTTTATAGTTTGAGGTCTGGAATTGCTATTCCACCTTCATCCATGTTTCTTTTCATCATTTACCATTATATTCAAGATCTTTTGTTTTTCCAAATGAATTTTGTTATTTTATCAAGTTTTATAAAATATCCCCTTAGATTTGTACAGCATTAAAAATGTAAATTAACTTTGGTGGTGAAGAAGTTTGGGGGTGCTGGGACCCTGAGAATTTCAAGGCAGAGTTGCCTGGAATGAATTCGTGCACTCAAGCCTCCTCTTAGTCAAGTGGCAAAAAGTTTATTGCAATGCTTTAGCAAAAGTGGGCAAGGGTCCTTATGGAACTTATAAGAGACTGAAGATAGGGCTGGGGTTTGTATGGAAAAGGGGCACAGGAAAGGAATGCCAGGGATGCTAATTAGGTAATCTAAGGATTCTGGTGTCTTTGGGAGCTATGGAGAGGAAAGTCTAGGGAGTATACCAGACATTGATGGGGGTTGTCAGAAGCATGAACTTTCGGGATCTGGTTCTAACAGAGGCCTTGGGCCAGCCAGGGACAAAAATCCTTGGGCCAGGCACCCCTCTGTGTTCTGCACTAAGAGAAAATTTTCTCACAGGACAGGGCCCTACTGAGAAATTGGGAGGCTTCCAGAGACATGATCTTAGGGCTGGGGCCTGAGCAGCCCATCAGCAGTACTGTTATTTTTATTATGTTAGTATGGCCCAGCCATGAGCACTGAATACTCCTTCAGTTATTTAGATTGTTCTCTATTTCTTTACAGAGAACTTTGTAAATGCATCCATACCAGTGCTTTGTATGCTTTGGCAGATTGATCCTCAAGATACTTTTTGCATTTTGTAGTGATTTGGAATAAGATTTTCTTTTCTGTTATGGCTTTTTTTGAATTTTGTATATAATAATAGAGATATTAGAAATGCAGTTGATTTTGGAGGGTTTATTTTGTAGACTGCAACTTTGCTGAAGCTATTGTCTCAAATAATACCTTTGCTAATCCCTGAGAATTTCCCCGAGTATGCCATCGTATCAGCAAGTAGGGATGGTTTTATCTCCTCTTTACCTATCTTTATGCCTTTAATTTCTTTCCCCTGTCTGATTGCTATTGCTAGTATTCCCAGAAGTATACCAGATGATAGTGGGAAGTGACTATCCTTGTTTTTACTCCTGTATTTTTTTGGAAAACATTCTAATGTATCATTGCATATATTACCTACACTTTATAGAATTTATAGAAAATATGATTGTTGTACTTTGTCAAAAGCTTTTTCTGCATCTTTTGAGATAATCAAGTAATTTTGGATGTTTAGGTTTTTAATATGATTAATTATGTTAATTGTTTTTCTGCTATAGATCCAACGTGATCATAAAAAAGTTCTTAGATAAGTCATTATAGTCAGTTTGTCAGGATTTTGTTAAAAGTTTTAAATCAATGTTCACTAATGATATTGGCCTATATTTTTCCATCTGGGTTTTGCCCTCCCCTGGTTTAGGTATCAGGATTAAATTTGTCTCATAAAAGGATTTTGGTAGGCTGCTTTCTCAATTTTTGAGAATGATTTGTGTATTATTGGTACTAATTTATCAGTGCTATCCACAGAGGTTATAAGAAATGAAAGTGCCATGAAATGAACAGTTCATTGACTTAATCTAAGTGACCCATTTAAGAATAACTGCTATTTTGCTTTCTTCTAACAATTCTGCATTTTCATTGACACAGGGAACCTAAGTTAATGATTTAATATAAGATTATAATGTGGTCTCTAGTGAGTGTACCAGGTAACTACATTTGACTATTTTTCATTTGTATCAGTGATGATTCAGATAAAGGCAGAGTTGGCATGGGATGCCTATTTCAGCAGTGTAGGAGTCTTAAAAGACCTTTTACAAAAGTATCAGACCAGCTAATGCTTAAAGCACAAGGCCTTTATTAGGTGAATTTCAATTCAAGATAGCTGACACTCAGGAGCAAAAGAACGGGGGTTCAGGATAGAAAGTGCAAAGGAGTCTTAGTCAATTTAAGGGAAGGATACAATTGGGTCTCAGTTGCCAGAGGGGAATGGATGTATGCAACTAGCTCTCATTTTGCTGGAGTTGGGCTCATCTCAAGTACAGTGGTTTTGAGACAGCTAGAGGAAGAAGGGGTTCAGTACTGAAAGAGGCTGCCCTTAGATTTGGCTCAATTGAGGTAGGGTGGGCTTTCACCATTCCTTATAATGAGTTCTTTGTCTGTTCTTCAGTAAGGCCAGGAAAGGTCACATCTGGGACCCTTGAGGACACAGGCCTGTGGCCATTGGTTTCCTAGGGACAAGTTGAATCTCACTCAAGTAGATGCACTTTTAATTTATTTCTCTTCTCTAATATAACTCAGGAAGTACTAGGTATTGATTATCCAGAGGAAGCGTACCCTTCAACCTCTACAAAAGCAATGAACATTTCTAGCATGTGGAATGAAAGTTCTTAGAACCTTTTTGAAAAAGGAAGATGGAAAGGTGTTTTTGGGGCAGAGGTAACCTGTCATACCCTATGGCCTGGAAAACAGGTTTTTGGATTACCAAAATCTGTTTATCACTTATGTGGATGATACAACCCTTTAGATGATTCTGGCTCTAAAAAATTGTGACAAGTTAGAGCATCAGGCCAGATTTAATAAAATGAAATTTAGTGAAAGTAAATTAAAAGTCTTATCCTCTTTTAAAAAAAACATTTTACAAATAAGAAATGGCTAGTTATTTGTCTAGATAGTTTATCTGAAAGTATCTGAAAATTTTAGTGGACTTAAAGTTCAATAGAACTTAGCGCTGGTATGGCAGTCCAGAATGTTAATGCCATCTTAGGTTACATTAAGAAAGTCATAGTGTACAGGAATATAGTCCCACTGCTCTCTACCTTGGGCAGACCACATCTGGAGTATTGTATCCAGTTATGGATGCCACATTTTAGGAAGGATCTTGATATACTTGAAAGGATCCAGAGGAGGGCTTTGAAATCATATCATGAGGATTGGATGGAAGAACTAGGAAAAGAAGAGAAAACCAGGAAGGAACATTATAGCTGACTTTATGTGAATGTCGGTCTTGTGGAAGAGGGGTTAGACTTGTTCTGCATGGGCCCAAAGGGTATATATGTAACTAGGAGTAATGGATAGAAATTTCAAAGATGCAAATTTAGGTTCCGTGTAATAATAATGATAGCATTTATATAGCACTTACTATGTACCAGGTGCTGTGCTAAGCACTTTACAAATATGATCTTATTTGGTCATTACAACAGCCCTGGGAGATAGGTGCTATTATTATTCCTATTATACCTGAAATGGAGACAAACAGAGGTAAAGTGACTTGCTCACAGGTCATATAGCTAGTAACTGTTTGAGGCCTGATTTCAATTCAGATCTAACTCCAGGCAGAACACTTTATCCATTAGGAGCTGTGCTGGATTCTCCCTTAGTGGTAGATGATTGCTTGCAGAAGATATTGTTATATATTATCTTTTTTAAGGTAAGGTTTAGATTAAATAGCTTTTGAGGTCCCTTCCAATTCTGAGATTCTTTGAATCTCTGATCAAAGTACTTTGGATAATTTATTGACTTGTTAGGACATACTACTTTCTTAGTGACCTAGTATATACCATTTGATTTCATGAATTGGTTATATAGCGTAATTGAAGTCTTAAAAATATATTATTGTTTATCTCCCTGACTTCATTGCACAGGTGTAGGACAGTGGGTGTAGAATATCTCATAGTATCAGAAATAATTATGTTGGTTAGTTTTGCTGAACTTTGAGAGTTTTTTACCCCTCTTTTAAACTCTTTGTTAGGAGGGATGACTTACTGGGGGAAGTTAAGGTGGAGAAATATTTTGGGAAATAAATGTGATTATAAAAAATGGGACAGATAAAGAAAATAAACATTTACATGAACGTATCTGTACATGTGATTGTATATATTTATATATATTTAATTTTGCTTGTGCCTTGAGTAAGACAATTTATAGAGATAGTTGATTAATAGTTAAAACAGGTCATTATTGATAATGTCTCTGTGTGTGGAAATGAGATAGTGCTAAAATTACACATGTTGGGAAAAAATGTTTCCTATTTTACTACCAATTTTTTTCTAGTATTTTAGAACATGGATTTAAAAGTGACATGTAAACTTTGTGCTTTTTTTAAAGGTCGAGTAAACATTGTTGACCTACAGCAGGTAACTTTAAAATTTCTAAAATATTTGATCTTGACAGTTACTCTTTTTTTTGTTATTGTAGATGATGTAGGTGCCATTATCCTAATTTTTTAAAAAGTAGCCTTTGATACCAAGGGGCAAATAATTTTGCATAATGTATTTAAGTAAACAGCTGTGTAAATTATATTTAAGTTGATTAGTGCATGCAAATTTAGTTTCCCTTTATGAACATTTTCCTTTTTTTTAATCATAGTGTTATCTCATTTTTGTGACACCATAAACTTTATATAATTGATTCAGTAAATTCTACCTGCATGAAAGTTGGATAGTTAAAGCATAACTCTAGCTATGAGATCTGTTTTGAAGCATTTTGAAAATGATTCACTGTGCATGGTATGAAATTCTTTATACTTGAGGAAAAAGTACTATTAAAATAAACACTATCTTAAACTCATGTCTTTCTAAAACAAGTCAGTGTTTGTTTTTATAAATCTTTTGTTTATAAGGGATTTCACACCATATTTTTGTGGTGATATTAACATTTCTGTTTGACATGTGGGGAGATTGGCATGAGGTACAGAGGAGTTTTGTAACTTACACAGAAAATTAGTGACAGGTCTGAGATAAGAACTTTGTTGTTTTTTTAAAAAAATCCCCATGACAGTGCTTTTTCAGCTAGATCACAAAATATGAATGGAGCATTTTGTATCATTTTGAAAAATTAAGATGGTATTCATAAATAAAAGAAATATGGCCAAAATAGGACAAGGAAATAAATATTTGAGTGATCAAGTCACTCATTGGGTTCAGTAATCTCCAAATTATATAGGTCTGGTCCCCACGTTATCCTTCGCTGTGATACTAACAAAGTAAACTAGAAGTGATAGTAAAAGGAGGTATGATAGCCATGGAGTACTACCAGATATGCAGAGACCATTGGTTTTCACTTTGATTTGGTGAGTGCTAATTTGTACAGTAATCTTCTTTTTATATAGAAATAAAAGTTGGGTTTTTTTCCCCTAGCAGTTGGAATGGCTAAAATAATGTGAGAAACTTCCAGTTCAATTCTAGGTTTTAAAGAAATATTATTTCAAGTTAGACATTTGAGATCAAAATGTAAAAAAATTTAAATATGTAAGTCTGTATGTACTATATTTAACATGCATTTTAGAACCTAAGAAATAATGCAAATTTAATAATAATGAAATGTCTGTATGTTTTCCAGGTAATTAATGTGGATCTGACTCATATTGAAAACAGAATTAGTGACATTATTAAGTCAGAGAAAAATGTTCAAGTAGTGTTAGGACAGCTGATAGATGAGTAAGTACATTTCACAGCAGTGCATTGTTTTTATGATAGATTTTCTACTAAAATTTGATATGATTATTTGTGGCTACTTTGACATTTGGTACCTAATACTGTTCTTGTGTTGCTGTCTACTGTGAACGTTTTTTCTATTCGTTCAGATATTTAAATAACATCTTGGTGACATGAAATCCAGCCTCTGATACTGCTGTCTCTGTGACCTTGGGCAAGTCACTTAAACCTCCCTGGTCCTCAGTTTCCTCATCTGTAAAATGAAATGGACTAGATTACATCTGAGCTGCCTTGAATTTTAAATATATGATCATGATTTGCATTCATATTAGTATATGTAACTTAGTATTGGAATTGAGTATCTTATTTAAAAAGGTGATTTTAAAACGTTGGTAATTGCCTACATATTAGCAGTTCAAAAGTTAAGTATGTAATGGTATGAAATGCTGTGCTTATCTACTGTGAAATTTTATAGACCATGAATTTTCTTTCACTGCTGTTAACCAAAGAAATGGAAAACGTGGTTTTAGTATTCCATCCTATGTGATCCCAATTGTGATGCAGTTTTCCCCCACTTTGGGAGAAATGGGAGTTATTTATTAATGAAAAAATACTGCATTGTTTTTCCCATCTCCCCCAACCAAAAAATAAAATGGCCTAAGAAAGTGTTTTAATGTCTTTATGGTTAGGAAAATTAGTAATAAGAAAAATCTCAGTACTTTTTTTTTTTAGATTGTTGACAGAAATTTGTGCTTTCCAAAATAGCTTTGATTTGTATGGTGAGGTTTGGGAAATCTATGTGTCCCTTTTGTCAATAATACTTTTACCTGAAAACATAAGTAAGTACAAAAAGCAATCTGATCATTCATTTTTATTAATTTCATATGTAGGAACTATTTGGATCACTTAGCTGAAGAAGTAAATGACAAACTACAGGAAACAGGTCAAGTGCCCATATCAGAACTTTGTAAAACCTATGATCTTCCAGGAAACTTTTTGACACAGGTAATTTCCTTATTAATATAAATTGTTTTTCTTTTTTAAAAAATATTTTTATATCTTTAGTCTTTCACAGTTATCTCCCCTCTCCCCATTGAACCCTCTCTTGTGACAATGAAAACAATTAAGCAAAATCATCTGATTCAGATACTTGGTCAGACAATATTGTGTTTTGTCCTTGTAGCTTCCCACCTCTGTACTATAAGGTAGGAGGTATGTTTTTCGTATTTCTTTTTATCATCTTCATTGCTTTTTTCCCCCCATTATTACACTTCAATTTCCTCTTGTTGGTCTTTTTGTCTAAATTATTGTATTCATTGTCTGTATTGTTGTCTTGGTCTTCATTTCACTCTTCATCAGTTCATACACATCTTTCCATGTTTCTTTGATTTCCTTATATTTCTCATTTCCTTTGTTACAAGAATTCATTTGCCATAAATTCAAATACCATGGGGGTATTTTTCAGCCATTTCCCAATTAGTAGGTACCATAAACTGTCTTTTCACGTGTAGATCACTAATTGATTGGGGGAAGGGAGACTTTTTTTAAAAATTAATTTTCAATATTTTGGTAGTACTATAAATAAAATAAAACATAAGGAAACTTTAAAATTTAATAACCAGGGACTAAATGTTTCATCACAGTAAAGTGGGTGCAGTTTATTTAATGCCTTTAATCAGTTAATATACATTTCATAAAAACATATCAAATTAGCATTCTTATTCTGATATTTGTGGTATTTCAAATATTTTCCAGTGTGGGCTATAATTTTATTTTGAACTTTTGGTTCTGTATCAGCCAACTCTCAGTTTAATAACTGAAAGAATAAGAACTCTTACACAACTTGTTCTTTAAATATCTGTTAGTGTCTCCAACAGACACAATAATAAAAATATATTTTGAATGACAAGTAGTCCACAGGAGCCATTCCACTTAAAAAACAGGGCATTTTATCTTCATCTTCAGATATCTTGACATTTCATCACTTTACTTTCTACTTACCAAAAGCCATTAGTCACATGAGGGGAAAAAGATATATTTTTGGTGTGTCCAGTTGAAGAAAGTCCAACATAAAAAACTGAAAACCTGAAAATCAGTTGTGGATATTTTAGTATAATTCTGTATACTATAATTAGTATAATATGCAGCTTGTGAGCTACATATTTATTGACCTAGGTAGCCACATATTAACATCATCTATGTTTATTGTATTTTTATTTATGTTGTTAAATATTTCTGAATTATGTTTTAATCTGGTTCAGACCACACTTGGGAGTGTTGTGATCTACATGTGGCCTGTGGACAGTATGTTTTGACATCTGTGAGATAGAGAATACATAGTCCTGCCACAGGATCACTATCACTAAGCTACTCAGTCTCTTAATCATTGATCTCTTTCAGCTTACTCATTTGTGACATTTCTGGTTTGCATCACAAATAGATAAAATAGATTTTAGTGTGTCTGTATATTACTGTAACCTATGCTTGCATTTACTGTAATTTTAAATCTTGTTTAAATAGGCACTGTCCCAGCGTCTGGGTAAAATTATCAATGGGCAAATAGACCTTGACAACAGGGGGGTGATTTTTACTGAGGCATTTGTGGCTCGACATAAGGCGCGCATACGTGGCCTTTTTAGTGCAATTACCCGGTAAGTATTACACAATAAAAAGTACACATATTTTTGTGTAGATTAAATGTGTAGTCCCTCACATTTTAAACCAGCTGAGCTTTCTTTTTAGTGGTAGGATTTCAGAATCCTTTTTGTTTATTTTGACCAGCTTCAATTTCATGATAATGGAGGTAGCATAAAGTGGTATTTACCGAGGCCAAATGTTCCAGGCCCTGATACCTTAAAATTCTTTTTTCTAAAAGACTACTTCCAAAATTCAATCATCTTTTTTTTGTTGTTTTTGTTTTTTTGTTTGTTTTAGGCAATGGGGTTAAGTGACTGGCCCAGGGTCACACAGCTAGTAAGTATTATGTGTCTGAGGCCAGATTTGAACTCAGGTCCTCCTGAGTCCAGGGCCGGTGCTCTATCCACTGTGCCATCTAGCTGCCCCCAAAATTCAGTCATCTTAACATCTGAGTTCACAACTTAGTGCCCATATGGCAGGAATGATTATAGTGAGTCAGCCCTTGTATACTCTTATAAAAATAAAATTGTGTTATGTCATGATTTATTTCTGTTTTGGCAAAATCACTTTAAAGGTTTTTAGTTGTTCTTTTTAATAATGACTCTATTATTTGGCTGCTTGTTTTACAGACATTCTCCTCCACACCCACCTCGTAGTTCATATGTTTCTATTTGACTTTTCACTTAGGAAAGCCCTATCCTTTTGCCTCCTCCTCAACCTGGGCTGTCCTACAAACCACCCACAATGGGGGAGCAGTGAGAATGCTTCCACAGGGACATTTCTACCCCAAACTTTCTCTCTTGCTGGTCTGCTTGATTCCTCTCAGGGACTGAATGAGATGGAAATTAACCCCATTCCTTCTGATGAGATAGAGTTAATAGTGTCAAACTCAAATAGAAATAGGAACCACTAAATTGTCATAGGGCTGGAATATGTACATGGGGCTGGAATGCAGCCTGTGAGCTGCGTATTTATTGACTTAGGTAGCCACATATTAACATCATCTATGTTTATTGTATTTTTATTTATTTGTCAAATATTTCTGAATTACATTTTAATCAGGTTCAGACCACAGTTGAGAATGTTGGTGAGCTACATGTGGCCTGTGGACAGGATGTTTTGATATCTATGAGATAGAGAATACAGTCTTAACATTTGTCCGCCATTTCACCCTTAAGAATTCTGGGCCTCTATCTGCTCTGCAACTGAACTTTGTTTTATGTATTGTCTCCCCCACTTAATACAGTGCTTAGAATAATAACACTTCTAGATGCTTTTTTATTCATTATTCATTCATTTTGGGATGAGTGAGAAAAGGAACCCAGGGTAAGTAGGAGGGTGGAGGTGTCTTTGACAGTAAAAGGGATATTTGGAAGTGCAGAGAGTTGGGGGAGAAAGTTATGAGTTCTGTATTGAATATGTTGAATTCGGGATGCCTTGGTATATATAGTTCAAGATGTTCAAAAAGGGCAGTTGGTGATTTGTAACTATAGCTCAGGAGAGAGGCTAGGCCTGGATATACAGGCCTGGAAATCATCTGTATAGAGATGGCAGTTGAACCCATGAGATAATAGAGAGTGAAAAGAGAAGACAGCTCGGGAGCAAGCCTGTGTGAGAAGCTAAAAATACATTTCATTGTTAAATTAAAACAGTTATGCTAGTGAATCTAGCATTTCACCAGAAAAGACCAGATATCGTACAGATCAATGATTTATCTTTTTTCCCTGTGTCTTGGTAAATAATTCCGATGCCAATGTAGGAAGAATTTTTGAGTGTCACTTTTTGTTGTAAATTAACCGATGGTTTTTCACATTTTTATTTTTACTAGAAAATTTATTGAAATTTCCTTGTGCTTATCTACTTTAAAATAAATTAATTTATTTTGTACTATGCTTATCAGTGACGTTAAGTTTTTCCTTCTTTCTTTATAGACCTACTCCAGTAATTTCTTTGATTTCCCGCTATGGATTTCAGGAGCAACTGCTTTATTGTAAGTTTGGTTCAAATTGTGTTTCATTTATTAAATAGCTACTCTATAGATTTGTGATTCTTAAATTTAAAAAAATTAATATTGTCTTTCTTGCTTTATAAAGCTTATTTTAGCCAACCTCATTGCCTAGTAAAGAAAAAAGTTTTTAAAATGCATTTTTCCCAGCACTGAAGTTATTTCTGAAGGTACACAAATGAAATTATATTCTTAGAACTCAAATTATATTAAAAAGTCTGAAAACTTAAATCTTAGTTTAATCTCTATTTTCCTTGAGGGCTTGCCCCTAGGAGTTTCATCATTAAGCTTTTTGTGATACTATAAATTTCACATAGTTTTGGATTTTACTTGCTTCCATTTGTCATTGTTAGCGGAGACAGAGCCTTCTCTGTAAATTGGGGAATTTGAATATATTTTTCTTGAGTTTATTAAGCACTTGCATATTAAATTTACTACAGGAAAAGGAATTCCTTGCAGAGAAGATTTATTTTCATTCATTTTATTTTTGTAACATTGAAATTTTATTTCAACTAGTATTTGGCTTTTATCTCTCTCTCATAACAACTTAAAAATGAAACTTAAAATGTGAAAAAATATGAAGTGAACTACAGCCTCACTAATAATGGGTCTGAGCCACAAAATAGTATACTTTACAGTTAACTACAGTAAGGTCCTAGTAATGATAACTCTGGTCACTTTTAATCTGAGTCTATGCTGTATTTGGGTTTTTACCAGTATTCTTGATATAGTTAAAAAATCACCTTAAAGCAGAGGATATTCCAGTTGAATCAAAAATGATAAAGCCTAAGATTGCCAGGAATTTGGGCTATATGTTGTGAACTGCTGGATTTCTAATTAAAAACTTATGATAATTTAAAAAAAAACTGTTGAGTATTTTAGGGCATGGCTATATTGCATTTAGGAAAATTCTTTTTAAAAATTCAGCTTTAATGTGCAGTAGAGTTTATATAGCAAGATATCTGGAAATAGTGGATAACACTGAATCATAATAGTGCAAATAGCACCACTTGTAAATTAGTCAAGTTGGCATGAAAATTATGCATATTATAATCTATCATTTTGTTTTGAAAAATAGTAATTATGATGAGAACTACCTAAATGTTTATGGCTTAATTGCAAAGAATTCAATTTTATATGAATTTTACAAACTTTTTAGCATTAATAGGCATTCTAAGTGCTGGAATATTGACCTTTATAAAAACACTAGTGAAGGAACAGATTTAATAATCATACAACTACCTACTTTTAAAAAAAATTTTATTAACTAGTATGATATTCAGTTTTAGAATTTGAGGAAAATTAATGTCTTAAGGTTCAAATACTGTGAGTAAGAAGTAACATTTTTAACTGGTGCACTGATTTCTCAGAATTTCCTTTCCTGGTGGGGAATTTTAAGTGGTGCTTTCACTCATCTAATAATACATTTAAAAAGTATAGCAGAGTATTAGAAGCTTATCAGAATTGTTTAATTTTTAGTAATCTTATAGCCCTGTTGATTTTTGTGTACTTTTTTCTTCCCCAAAGCTGTGCTTGAGGAACTTGTTAATAGTGCCACGTTTAAAAGGTGCAGTGGTTGGTGGGAGACAAGATAAAGCTGTTTTTGTTCCTGATATCTATTCCAGAACACAGAGCAACTGGGTGGATTCCTTTTTCAGGCAAAATGGCTATCTAGGTAACTACTTTTTTTATTTTTAGCGTTTTCTAAACTTCCACTTTTTAATTTCTTTTTAAAACTTGATCACACATTTTAAAAGATCCAAATAGTTACATAAACAAATGAACTGAGCTGTTAGATGAACAGATTTCATTGATGTCTCTCTTAGTGTGAAAACAGTCACAATAAATGCACATGCTTATGTTGGTCTTATTCCCATCACTACCATATCAAAAAGTTATCAAAAGTTTAAAATGCACAGCACAGTTTTTTGCTAAATAAACACCTATTTTTTCTTTGAAGGTAGCATTGAGAAAGTACTCATTTTTTCTCATTCTTATAGAACTGCGTTTTTCATAAACAGGTCATTTTCAGTATAGTATATAAGTCCCAGAAATTTGCTAGTGTCTTACCTTTTTTACATTATTGATTTTTATTACTAAAGAGAGGCTTCAAAATGTTAGCAGAAAAACTAAAATAATGCTTGCTGCAATAGCTGTCTTATCTTTTAGATAGTGCTTGATTGATTTCACTCCTGAGAGTGATTCTCTCATTTGAATTCATCTTAGAAGGTTGTTGGGAGGAGCAAATAATACATGCAAAGCACTTTTCAGATTTTAAGGGACTATATAAATGTTAGCCATTACTATTAAGATTTAAAAAAGTGAGGTCCGTTTATTTTGGTCTTCTTAGCAACCAAATAAAGTTGACCATGTAACAATCAACAAGCATTTATTGCCTGCCTGCTACATTACAGTCATCTCAGTTTCATTGCTTGCTGGGTAGTTGATCATAATTCTGTACCATATTTTGAAATATATCCTAAACTGGAGGTTCTTAACATTTTTTGTGCCATGGACCTCTTCTGAAAGTAATATTTTTAAAGGCATAAAATATTACAAAGGAAACAACTTATTGAAATATAGTCAAATAACCTCTGGCCTGTTCTAAAGCAGACAGACTACTCTTTAATTTTGTTTCCTGGACTTTGGGTTATGGAGATTACAAATCCCTTTTCAGTCTTTTATGCTACAACCATGAATTTTAGATTAGAATTATACTTTGAGAGGCAGTGTTGTATAGAGGAAGAATGATGGATTTGGAGTCAGAGAACATGGTTTTTGTTTGTTTGTTTGTTTGGCTAGGCAATGGGATTAAGTGACTTGCCCAGGGTCACACAGCTAGTAAGTGTTATGTGTCCTGACTCCAGGGCTGGTGCTATATCCACTACGCCACCCAGCTGCCCCCAAGAACATGGTTTTGAGTCCAGCCATTGACCTCTGTGTAAAATTTAGCTGTTTTGGACCTCAGTTTTCTCATCTGTAAAATGAGAGGATTGAACTAGTTCACCTAAGACTCCTTCTAGCTCAGAATGTGTAATCCTATTATTCTGGTACATGGTAGACATTTAATGCATTGTTTGTTCCGTATTATGTTATTTTAACTAAGGTTTATTTGTGTATAATAATTAATTTTTTGTTAATACTAGGTACCATCACAGAAGATTAGACTTCTAAGTTTTTTTCAATGTTTTCATTGTAGTTTTGTTTTAGTACAAGTTACATAAATACACTTCAATGACACATAAACTATTTTGAAAAACTAATTACACTTACCTGAACACTAATTCCGTTTTAATTGAGTTTAATAGGAAGTAAAATATGAGATTTATTTTGCTTAATTTTAAATTTCTCCTTAGTATAAAATGTTTGATTTACTTCTGTAGTTCTCATCTTTCTCTTTGAGCTCTGAATTGATAGTGATTAAAGCCACAAAGCTTTAATTGAGTGAATACATGATCCTCATGTTGTACAAATATCAAGAATTTTTAAAAATGAAATAAATAATATATGCTAAGGAATACTCTGTTACTTTTGTTACAAGTTGCCTAAAAATGAATTACACATCACTGTGTAATACCCATAGAGAGGCCCAGAGAGAGAAACGTATTAGTTCAATATCACAGAATCAGTAAGTACTGATCCAGAATTTGAATTCTGGTTTTCTGAATCTAATTGTAATGTTCTTTCCAAACTATTTTTCCGAGTTTATTTGTATCTTCTCAGTGGTATAGATGCGCCTTCTACTGATGACAGATTGCAACTTCTCCTCATGTTTTCATTCTATCACCCATATTTTTACAAAAGTCTTCAAAAGAGTATTCTTCTCCCTTGTTAGAGTCCTTCCTCTATTGAAGATTTCATAGTTGATATTTTTCCTATTTTCTGTTCTACCTATAGCATCTGAACAGTTTATAAGTCTGAGGTTGATTGATTGCTCATCAACCTACTGAAAAAAGTCTGAGACACTCAATAGAACAAAAGCTCCCTTGAGATGGGGAACAGTTGGACTTCTTTATTTGCATCCCAGTGCCTGGCACATAGGTGGTTAATAACTTCTAGTTGAATGAATGACTAAAATACAGTGTGCACACATTAAAATGATAGAAAAGAACATGTTTTAAATGTAGAAGGCAGTAAGAAAAGTATATGTTATGCTGGAAACTGTAAATTCTTTGAGCATCCAAAGAAGATATAACTCACACAATTTTTTATGATGGATATCTAGAATTTGATGCTTTATCCAGACTTGGGATCCCAGATGCTGTGAGCTACATAAAGAAAAGATACAAAACTACACAGCTCTTGTTTTTGAAAGCTGCTTGTGTTGGTCAAGGAATTGTAGACCAGATTGAAGCTTCAGTAGAGGAAGCCATCAGCTCTGGTTCCTGGGTGGATATTTTGGTATGTTTTCTGTTATTTACATCCAGTAGCAGTCTGTTATTTCTCTTTAATGTTTAACCGTTTTATATGCTTAATAATTTAATTCACATAATCAAGACAGTATGCCTGGGCAAGTCATTTAATCTCACAGTATCTCAGGCAGCTCTTTAAAACTAAGTTATAACCAAGTTGCCAGTGTGCATCAGTAGCATGAGTTGATGTACAAGAGAGTTTCCCACATTGATGAAATCAATGATGCAAACAAAAGGGGGGAAGAACAAGAAGAAAAGCATACTTGAGCACTGTGAGAGTTTTTTTTTCTTACTAAGATTACTGTAATTGCTGTAAGAAACAGTTTTGTCTTTTGTCTTTTAGTTTTTAAAGTATTATGCTTGGGTAAATTTTGATCCTTGGGTCTGTCCTCCTGCTTCACTGATTTGAGACCTAGTTTTTCCACCTGTGCCTATTCTCCTAGATAGTCACTCATTCTCTAGCCTGTCTGTTTTCTCATCTCACTCTTGCCTCTCACTCTGCCTCTACTTTCTCACTTCCCACTTCTTAATCTCTTACCATCTCTCTTCTCTTCAGTAGCCAACAAATATTGCTAAAACCATTTCACAGATCTCATTCCTCTGTACTTCTCTGCAGCACTGTTGACCATTTCCCTCCCTCCTCCTGAATTTTCTATCCTCCATTGATTTTTCTGATACCCTGTTTTAGTTCTCCTACTGTTCTGTTGCTTTTCACTCTCCTGTGTCATCATTATTTTCATCCTCTCCCATTTCTTAAGCATCAGTGTTCCCCAAAGCTTTTTCCTGGGCCCTCCTTTCTTAGTACACTCTCTTGGTGAGCTCTACTTGCATACGTATTCATGCATGCATGAACATAGACATTTCTCTTTTGAACTCCAGGTAACCTCCTGCTAAATACAGCCATATGGATTCCCTATCAGCATCTCAAAAAACCTACTCCTTTGCCTACTGACTTGCTTTTGCTATCGAAGGTAGCACCATTCTTACAACCTTGTAGATTCCTAACCTCAGAGTAATCCTTAACTTTGTTCACTTGCCAAACCTTATTGATTTTCCTTACACATAATTACTTCATGTATCTTCCTTACATTCCTTTCTTTACACTCACTGTGTCATATCTCTATTTCAGACCCCCCATCACTTTTTGCTTGGACTATTGTCATAGCTGCCTAATTGTCTGTTCTTTCTCTCATCCATCCTCCACGTAATTGCTACTCTAATTCCTAAAATAAAAGTTTGATCATGTTACTCCCATTCTCAAAAGTCATCAGTGCCTCCCAGGATAAAATATAAATTCATCATTTAAAGCACTCCACAGTCTGGACTTATTTCACATTACTCCTCTTCATGAAATTTATTTTCTGGTCCAGTTGGCTGACTGATCGTTCCCAAAACTCATATACCATCATGCTTTTGTGTTTAGTCTGTCTCCCATACCTAGAATGTACCTCTTCTGAGTTCTCTAGCTTCCTTTAACACTTAGTGCTATCTCCAGTTCAAAGCCTTTCTTGACTTGTATTCCTCATCCATTCAGTTATTAGTACTCTTTCTTTTGTGAAATTATTTGTATTTACATATATGTATTATACCTATTGTATCACCTTGGGTAGAATTAGGAAGCTCTCAGAGGACAGAGACTTTTTTGCTTTTTGTCACTTTTCCCCTCCATACCTAGTACAGAAATTTGCATATGGTAGGTGCTTAATAAATGTTTGAACTGGAAATATCTCTCTATATATGTAATATTAGTTTTGTTTATTATTTTAGCCACTACTGCCCAGTTCTTTATCAGTAGAAGATGCTGGAATGTTGCTTCAGCAGGTGATGAGAACATTCAACAAACAGCCATCAGCTGTGGTCTTTAATGATACTGTAGTAGTTAGTGAAAAGTTTATAAATAACTGTGCGGAGTTGTTCAGTAATTTGATGCACCAGAAAGCTGAAAAGGTATGCCTTTTTTTTCTGTCATACACCAAAATTAAAATATTTTAAATATTTGATTCTGGTTTTGTTTCTGTTTTTGAGAGAGAAGTGGCAGTGTAGCCAAAGAGATGAATATTATAGTATTTGCATGATCAGTTTATATTTAAATGCACATTCCCTTTAGTTTATTCCTTGGGGTTTGTCTCTCAATCTGTTTCTCTTTGAATGTCTACCCTCTGCTTTCCAGTATTTGACTGTTTAGAGTCTTCTCAATTGATTACTCTTGAGGTACAGATATAAATTTTAAAAATTTAAATGCACAAAAGTTATCCCATGTATTTAAAGCAGTTTGGATTTGAATAAGAATTTCCATATGATACATAATTTCTCTGCAGCATATTCTCTGTATTCTATGTACACATAAATATTTTATGTAGTAAAGTGTTATTAATTGAATTTAAGTGTGGGGAAGGCAATTCTAAATTATTGAGAAGGCAGAATTGTGAAACTTTGTTTTAAAATAGCTCCTTGAGGGTAGGGACTGTTTTGCCTCTTTCCTGTATCCCCAGTGCTTAGTACAGTATATGGCACATAAATGTTTATTGATTGATTAAAATACAATTTTGTTATTATCAAGAACATGCTAGACTAGGAATAAGGAGAAACCTGGGCTCGCTTCCTACTATTCTCCCATTCTACCTGCTCTTCAGCAGGTAACTATGGGCAAGTCACTTAATTTCTCAGTTCTTCAGTTTCTTTATCAGTAGGATAGTTAAAGTAACTGAAGTACTGCCTCACAGAATTGTTGTATGGAACAGATTATACATGTGCACGCATATTTTAATAAACTATACATAAAACACTTTAATACATTATGTACATTTGTTTATTATTGTTAATATTATAATGAAAATACTGCTATCAATTTTTTTCCCAAGTAGACATCATCTAGTTCTGCTTTAATAAGTACTACTTTTAATAAATAATAAATAAGGATTTTGTTGCTATAGGGAACTCCTAGATAAGGAAACTCTCTTTGCTATTTCAGATTGGCACCCTTTCTACAACTTATATTATTAGAGAGTTTTAAGAAATATTTGTATTTAATTAGGATGCCTGGATAATGTCTGCTAGTAAAAATTTTGCTAGCATTGAATATAGTAGAGGCCTTAAAGTTTGTTTTCTTAGGAAAAAGTAGCCATACTTATATACTTATCTACATGAATAAAGCAGTTTGTTTTATTTTGTGGGGTTTTTTTAATTTAACATTTCTGCCCAGAAGATTGGAGCATCTTCATCTCTTTTTATTGAAATTATATTAGATAATAGTTCTATACATTTGATATAACCATTAACTTTTCTAGTAATAAGATTAGAAAATAACAGGTATTGATTATACTTACTTGCTGTGTCTTAATATTTCAGACATGCATCCTTAGAAGAGCACTAAGGGATGAGAAACAAATGAATGACAAACATATTCCTTGCAGAAAACTTGCCCATCTTACTTTTGTTACTAAAGGGGGAAAATTGTTATGGAACTTGGATTAATTCTTTCTAATATACTCAACAACTATTAATCACAAAAAATGGTTCTAAGGAAATTAACCATAAAATAAGTCAAAGAACAGCTTCCAGCTTGCTTATTTTTATGGATACAGATATATGAGTGCCATGGTTATTTGGAGTCAGCCTTCTGGAAACCTCAGGTATCCAGAATAGTGAACAAGTGAAAAAGAGTGCCTCAGTTTAAGTAAGCAGCCTTTCAAGCACTGGTGAAAGGAGTCAGGAAACTTCCAAATGACATCTAATGTAATATGATTGGTTGTTTTACTTCCCAGAAGTAATTCATGTTATCTGATGATGGCAAGAAAAGCCAAGCTTATTGGCATAGAAGCCAAAAACACAGGAAAAGTAAAAACAGCAACAAAGAAAGAAAAAGGAGATACAGAGAAGGATGGAATGGTATTAGACATTAGAAGCAGTGGTGGGGGTGTCTAATAACAAAGAACTCTAAGAAAGGGAGATCAACCTGCAGTCCAGAACAGTTACCTATTTCTCCTGGCATTGGAAAATAGATCTCAAATTAACAAATAAGTAGGATCTAATTACATAAGCAAAGATCATTTTGTTTTGTAGTGTGTAGCGGGCATGTAATGATGTACTGAAAGTAAGCTCATTTTTTCCCTCAGGAAATGAAAAACAATCCTGTTCATTTAATCACTGAAGAAGATTTGAAGCAGTCTTCTATCCTGGAAAGTGTTAGTTCAAGTAAAAAAGATAAAAAAGATGAACGACGAAGAAAAGCAACAGGTAGCTTGTTAGTATTGACAGTTTAGAGATATTTTTTAATCCAAGAATTTTCATTTTATAAAATCTGCTTTGTAAAGGTTGAACTTACTTATTATGCCCACTGGAAGTTAAACAAGTTAGAAGATTTATACTTCTTAAGTTTTAATTTTGACTGCTTAACCAGTTTGGGTACTGATACATGTTTCACTTGATTTTTCAAATCTGCAACTTATGCTCTGAAAGTACTAGGGTCTTGTTAACATGGAAACTAAGGCACTTAGGTTGAGAATTAAGAACTCGTGTTTCTAGAATATTGTTGATAATCAAGGTTTGAATTGGTGAACTTGTCCAACAGGATCACTTGAATTTTTAAAGCTAATATGTAAATGCCTTCTCTTAATTTTAAAGCACCTCTTACTTGAAAGTCAATTGGTTTCCCTATAAGATAGACCAGGCCTCTTTTAAAGGATGTTTTTACTTAAGAATTAATGGAAATTATCTGCTAATTATCATTGGAAAATAGTAGACCTGTAAATATTTTCTTAATAGCTAAAAGTAAAATATTCAAAACCTTTAGATGTAGTCTCAGATTGGAACAATCAGGATTTCAGGATGTTCATACCTACAGTATTTGGACATAGACATGTAAAAATCTTTTTTTTTTAAAGTTGTTTGCATACCACTTTGGTTTTTGCTATCTAATTTATATTTCTCTCTTTTGTTCTGCCAAACACCACAGTACTTTAAATCTATCTTTCTCTGCTACTTTGGGGAAATTGCACTGAGGGTATACTACGCACAATAGTAAAGCACCATATTGTTTAAAAGTCATGGCTGTCTTCTGTTCTATTTTAAAGGGATGGTACTGTTGTGAATTGAACATGATAAATTTGTCCGTCGGCATATCAGTGTAACTAATCTATTATATTCCTTTCTAATAATTAAAGGAATCCTTTGGGTATGGTTGCTTTCAGTGACAATGCTGTTATATGTTTTATACAGTTGAATATTATTATCCTTTAACATCCCTCATATTGAAAAAGATTTCAGGCATAAAAGCTGTCCTAAATAAGGGCCCAGTTATAAACAAATTTAAAATCACATTCCTTTTAGTACTGTGCTTTGGAAGATAAAATCCTTTTTTCATCTTAACAGTTAAGAGAGAGAAAATAAAGTTAGTAGTACCTTAAATACTGTAAGGATTAATAGAATTCTACTTAGAACTTTGAAAATAGAGAGTGTAGTTTTTATGTAAATTATTGTATTTTTAAAGACAAACGTGATATAAAGATGGCTATATTTTAAACAATTAGGTAATGGATTCTAGGCAACTGCTCTTGTGTTTTTGTTTTTAAAGACTTTTTCTGAAGACTTTAAAAATTAAGTGTCATTTTCAGGTAACATTAAATAGAAACATCAGCTCTTCACTATGTGGCTTTTACTTCTAGTACTCTAAATTCTGGGTGGTTTAGTGAGCTATATTTGCCAAATTTTTGTTTAGGCAGGAGGGTTAACATTGATGCATTTGCTGCCTACCTGAGAAACCTTGTTTCACAAGTCTGTTGTTTTTCGGATTTTCTCAGTTTTACATTTTTATAAAGTTTAGTTTATGTCTGAGATAGGAGCTAAAATCACTTTTTACAAGAGATATTTTTTCTTTTAAATAAATATATCTAACAAAATTCCTGCCTCTGGTTGGTTACATAGTTTATAATCTTATTAAGAAAGTCCCAAGAAGTTTGAAAAAGGCAAAGAAGACAAATACACAAGTAAAACATTGCTTTTGATTCTGTCTGACATAAACCTGGGCCATGTAACAGTATATTATCACTTTTTCCTCTGTGCGGCACTTTGGATGGGTTGTACTAAATAATGTTATTTTCCACCAGAGGGCAGTGGAAGTGTGAGAGGAGGTGGTGGTGGAAATGCCAGAGAAATCAAAATTAAAAAGACCAAGAAGAAAGGAAGGAAAGATGATGATAGTGATGATGAGACTCAGTCTGCAAACACTGGTTTGTGCCATTTTTATTTTATTCACTATTCTAATCTATAGGTTTTTCTTTGAGTATATGCTTAGTCAAGTACTAAGAAATTATAAAATTCTAAGATTTGGAGTCTTGAAAAACAAAAGAGAAATACAATATACTTCAGCGTTTTTATTGTACTACTTAAGTCTGTGTCTAAGTGTGACAGTTAAATGTGTGTTTGGTTTTATGGACTGTTTAGATTTTGGTTTTGAACTTTACAAAAGAACTATTTTGAAATTCAATTTTAAATAAGAATTTTCTGCTGTTGAGTTTAAGTTAATATTAAATTAACAAGCTGCTGAAACTTCGTGTCCTTAATGGAGGAAAATGTAAGATAATTTATCATTTTAGTTTGGGTTCCAGCTGAATTCCATGTAAATTTTAAATGTTATTTCACTGTGGTAGACTGATCAGACTGATGAGTCCTACAGAGATACGGTGACAAACAATAAGGAATACACATCAAGTCATTCCAGCTTTGGATTTGCTGTAGCTTTTTAGCACCCACTGCTTTTTTCCATAGTAGTTGTGGGTTATTGTGTGCTTTTTCTTATTGGAGCAGGTAAAAATATTTATGATTTCTTGTTTCACTAACAAAAATTTATAATTTTAGTAATAGTAGGAAACTATGACTGTTATGTCCCTCTTCACTAGTTAGCAATATTGAACCTTTACCTAGCTTCATGTTTTAAGAAAAGTGTAATTATTAAGGCATAGGAGAATATATCCTAAATTAATCAGTCAGTAAGCATTGTGTCCACTATGGCCAAAGTACTATGGATACAGAGCCAAGAATGAAATAGGCTCTGTACCCATAAAAGTTTCATTTTGTACAAGAAAGACAACATTTACAAGATAATCTGGAGGGTGGGGGAGACACTAGCAGCTGGGAAGATCAGCAAAGGCCTTATGTAGTAGGTAGTGTTTAAGCTAAATTTTAATAGAAACCAAGCAAGGTTGTTCTGATATGACTCAGCCTTATCTGTCAAGAGAACTAGGATAGAAAAGGTTAAATGGCTTTATTTTCAGCCTCTTAATACAGTGTCAAATATAATAATGCTATTGAATGAAGTAAGAATTAACCATTACTTGGCAGGACCTGGATCTATGATTTCATTTAATTGTTATAAGGATCTCTGCCCAATGAGAAAAATTCCTCTCTGTCACCATTAAGTGATTAGCCCGGGGGCACAGCCAATATGTGTCAGAGATGGATAACTAACACTATGCTATCCTCCCTCTCTATTCTTGAGTACTTTAAAGTACTAATTCATTCAGTAAGATCCACCTTCATGACAAGCATTATATGAGAGAGAAAAAAGTAGTAGAGCATAAAATTCTAGAAGAGACTTTAAAGATTATATATTTCTAGCACCCACATTTTGGGCAAAATGTGAATGGTTTTATACATCAAACTATGTTATTTCAGCCATTTAAAAGGGGCATGCTAGTAGCTACTGTGTAAATGTTATCTGTTATTGCAGATTAAAAAGCTTCATTATTGCTATTAAGTTCTTAAATTACTCTAATTCTTTGTATTTATTTTTATGTCTAAATAAACATGAACACCAAAGTAATGTAATGGATAAGTGCCTGATTGGGAATTAGGATGACTTTAGATTAAGGCCACCTCTCACACATATTGAACTGTGACATCCTAAACAAGTCACATAACCTCTCAGAATTTGATTTTGAAGACCATGAAATCTAGAAGGTGTTATAATCCCCATCCCCCCCATACCCCCCCACCCCAGTAATTCAAAACACTTAAGAAATTTCATGACCAGAAGAAATAAATGTATATTGTACCACTGTCACATCTGGTTAGAGAGAAAGCTATAAAATTGCTATTCACTCCACATTGATGGCTGTCTTGTCACTAATTTCTAGAGGAAAAATTTTAGGAGTTAATCATTCAAATGATTTTTAATATCTATTCCTCTTCTTTAGTGACTATTAGTAAATTTTGTTGACAGGAGATTTTGTATTGTTGTCTTTGTTCTTGGCAGATAAAATGAGTTTTCATGTTTTACTGGGTTATATTGTTTTAAAAAACTGTTAATGTCTGTCATAGGTAGGAAAAAGCCTGAAATCACATTCATGTCGCTGGAGGAAATTGAAGACGTTTTGAAGAAGCACATACAGGATGGCCCTGAAGAATTTGTTGCAGAACTTGCTGAACATTTAATAAGGCAAGTGTAGAAATATACTTTGGATTCTTAATTTTTAGCCCTCAAAATAACATTCTGATTTGTCCATAGAAATTCACTGATTATTGTTAACATTAGGAAAAGAATTTAGTCAAAAGTTTGGACATTAGAGGTCAGACTTTAAAATATAAATCAGTTTTCCAAGTTTTGCTTTCCTACTGATTTGATGAGTTTCTTTTCTCATATTCTAATACTTCAGTGTATCCACAGTATCACAGAATTTCTGAGATGGAAGGGACCTTTCATGTCATTTAGGCTAACTCATACCAAAAAAGAATTGTTACCACATAGGCAACAAGCTGACAGCCAACTTCAATTTAAAGACTTCTGATGAGGCCTTTCCAAAACAGCCCATTCCACTTTTGGGTGACTCTAATTGTAAGGACATTTTTTTCCTTACCTCAAGCTTACATTTGCCTCTTTGCAACTTCTGCTTATTGCTCGTAGTTGTATCCTTTTGGCCCAAACAGAATTAGTCTAATTACTCTAATAGCTCACATGCTTCATCCTTCAATTTTCTCCAGTGTAAACATTCTCATTTTTTTTTCAGCCGGTCTTCATCTGTCATGTACTCAGAGCCCTTCACCATTCTAGTTACTCACCAGCTCATGTCCTTTCTAAATTCTTGGACTCAGAATAGAATACACTACTCCAGTTGTAGTCTGGGGGCAGACTACAGTGGGGCTATTATTTCTGTAAGCTATGTCTCTCAGTGTAGCCCAAGATCATATTGAGCCTTGTTGGGTACCATATCAATCCATCAGTAAACATTTATTAAGTGCTTACTGTGTGCCAGCCACTGTGCTAAGCTCTGGAGATACAAGAAGAGGCAAAAAGACTGTCCCTGCCCTCAAGAAACTTATAGACTAGTGGGGGAGACAACATGCAAGCTATATACAGGATAAATAGGAAATAATTAAAAGAAGGCACTAGAATTAAGAGGTATTAGGCAGGACTTCCTATAGACAGTAAGGGCTTGACTCATATTGAACCCGCAGTACACTAAACCCCCAAGATTTTGTTCAGACAGTCTAATTATGCTTTTCCCATCTTGTATTTGTGAAGTTACTTTTTTGAATTCAAGTGAAAAATTTCACATATATCTCTGTTAAATTTCATTTTATCAGATTCAGCCTAACATTCTAGCTTATCAGCATGCTGACTTTGTCAACCACAAATGTTAAGTATCACTTCCAGCTTTGTATCACCTGAAAATACCTTTTATCCAAGTCATTGATCAAAATGTTAACCAATATAGAGCAAATGACAGATCCCTCAGGCAAAACATTGGATACCTGTGTTGGCATTAAGCCGTTAATGATTATTCTCCGACCCTGATCATTCAATCAGTTGGATCTGTTTAATTTTATTAATGCCTAACTTACAAATGGACATGTGGTACCCATTTCTTTGCCAAAGGTTAGTGTGAACTACTTTATCAAACGCTGCTAAAATCCAGGTAAACTGTCATTAACATTTACCTGATCTTCCAGTTTTGTAACTGTCAAAAGGGCAGTAAGACTAGTCTTTCATCTGAAATCATACCATCTTGTGATCACTGATTCCCTTTCTAAATGTTTGCTAATATTTAATAAGTGGAAAGCCAAGCTCAGTGTCCTATAGACTATATTTTATTTATTTCCTATAAACTGTATTTTCCTTCCTTTAAAAAAAAAAGCAAACAACCATTTGATTTTCTCTAGTCTTGTTTTGTTCTGTTCAGTTCTCTGCAGTCTTTCAGATATCACTGACCTTGAGCAAGTCAGCACCGATGCCTGCACTTTCTCCTCCACAAGGTGCAGTTTGTTTTGGCTGGTGTTCTCTTATTGTCTCTTTATCAACTTTGTTAGCCATTCTAATTCTCTTTTTTCCTATCCAAAAGCTGTTCTTCATAGCAGAGAAAGCAGAAGCAAAGTAAGAATTAACCAGCTCTGCCTCGTTGACATGTTTCCTGAGGAGTAGTTCTGTCCTGTCTTTGACCTTCCTCCCAATACAGCTTAAAAAAAAACCCTTATTAAAGACCATCATCTTTACAGGACTATACAGTAGGAGGTTTTCTTAGCTATTGCACAGAAAGAATACCATACTTGGTTCAGGTAAGATGCAGCTCCCTTATCCCCATGTGACTATGCGTCTGGTTAGTAGGTCAGGGTTTAGTGACCCATGGAACCATCTGCCAAATCTGAAGAGCATCACTCTCGTGAGTGGGTCAGTTGATGACCAGGAAGCCCCATTTTTGTGGCCTCAGGCCACAAAGAAGTTCCACGTTAACTGTGTGGCTTAAACTTTAGCTCCTTGGGCTTAGGAGTAGCTTCCTTGCTTTTTAGGTAAAGAACTAGCCTGGTAGATAATGATTGTTTCATAAGGTTACTTCCTTCAGGCTATTCCTGTTTTTCTTCCTCATCTGAATCATTTCCACTTGTGTGATCAGGATTTCATTCATGAGTATCTCATCCTTCCTGAGCTCACTTTCTCTGTAGAATTTTAATCAGAAAGATTCCTGTCCTTTCTCTGAACCTTTTGAAATACACTCTTCCCAAATTTAGGGTGCATGTCATACTATTGTCAGTTTTATTCTCCATCAGACCCTAGGAGAAATGATTAATTTCCTCCAAGGTTTCCATCATTTCCACCCCAGCAACCAGTTTCTCCCTGTTAGTGAGAATCAGATCCAGAAGAAAATTTGCCTTTTTTGGTTCCTCTACGTTTCGGAGGACACTCTTAAGTCATAAGTCAAAACATTTTTTTTAGCTTTGATTTTGATAGAGAACAAGTTCTCTAAGTCCTCCATGCCTGATATGTCATTTTTTCTTTGCCAAATATAGTAGCACATAGTTTCCTGAAGTCTTCATCTCTCTTCTTTCCATCCAGGTGGCCTTTGCTATACTTCACTGAAAAAAATCACTTCTGTTTTCCTCCCTAGTGATGCTTTCCTATGGTTCCAGTGCTACCCTCTCCACCCTAAACATATCTTTAAGAAAAAATTAGAGAATACCTATTTAGTATTCTGTTTATAGCTGTCATCCCACTAAATCTAAATGATACCTTTGAGGTCCAATTTGCTTCCTTGCATTCAGACCTCTAGTTCTATTTGTTTGGGCCTAAACAGTGTGATTTTCTTTATAGACATTTGATCTCGTGGGGGTTTTTTCCCCCCTTTTGTTTTGTTTTTTAGTAGCTCCTCTTAACTTCGATTTTGCCTCCTGTGATTTTCTGGACATCTCAGGTGATACTCTTTTTCCTTCATTCTGGTGACTGTCGTATCTAGCCTGGAAGATATGGGAAGTTTTCTCCCTCCATTCTTTTCAGTTGAATGTTTTTTACTAGATTTGCAAGATAGGAGGCAAATACATTACTACTAGGTATACATTATTCCTGGCCAAGGAATTATCAATCTTGTATTTTAAGCCATGGTCACTACTTCAAATCCACTCTTCTGGATAATTTGCATCTAATGGGCAGCAGGGATTGAAGCACCACCTGTGACCCTATGATCTTCAGTTTCTTGCTCAAGACTCCTTGGTTTTCTAGGTTCCTTCTTGCAATATTATTTGTGCCCACAAAATTACCAAAGGTGGGTAGTGATTAGCCTTTTAGATAAGTCTTGGGAGTTTCTCAGTTATGTCTTGGATACATACCCTGAGAAGACAGGTACATAGCTGTGACAAATACAAAACCATATACTTGGTTCAAGTCACTGCACATTTCTTCTGTTTCCATCCTGGTTGATATACTCAATCTTTCTTCTTCGCACTTCTTTTGGGTTTTTATAGCTCACCTCCTAAGCTCCTTTATCCCATCTTAAGAACCTTACATCCATATTCACTGCCTTTCCCATCACTCATTAATCTTTTATTTTGTCTTACTAATGTTTACTTAACTTTTCTAGCTTACCTTCCCTACCATCTCCTTGGGGCAGTTAGGCAGTATAGTGGATAAAGCGCTGGGCCTGGAGTCAGGAGGAGCAAAGTTCAAATCTGGCCTCAGACATTTAGCAGTTGTGTGACCCTGGGCAGGTCACTTAACATTGTTTGCCTCAATTTCCTCATCTGTAAAATGAACTGGAGTAGGAAATGGCAAAGCACTCTAATATCTTTGCCAAGAAAACCCCAAATGGGGTCATGAAGAATTGGACATAACTGAAATGACTGAACAGCTATCTCCCTGAGTCCTTTTTGTATCCTTTCTCTCCAAGCCTGTTCTTGTTTCAGCTTGAATCCTCCTTTAGACTGCGCCCCTTCCCTTGTTTAACTTGTTCTTCTGCTTGTTTGCTCAGCTCGAGTACTCCTTTCAGCAATTCAGGTCATCATCCATCCACATCTGCCTTTCTGTCCTCAGCAAAGCTTAGCTATACACTATAAACTCACCACTTAGAGGTCTTTCCTCGCTTTTTCTTGACATTATGTGAACACCACTGGAGCACTCAGGCTGAACTATGTTCAAAATAATCTGTCAGGGTAAATTCAACTACATTTAATCGTGCTAGGTAAATGTGTTTTTCTTCTCCACAGATCCCTCAATAGAAGTTATCTGGAAGTGGTACGTTCAGTTTTTATGTCTTCAACTTCTTCTGCATCTGGAGCTAGTAGGAAACGTACCATCAAAGATTTACAAGATGAGGTGTCAAATCTATACAACAATATTAGATTATTTGAAAAAGGAACAAAGTTTTTTACAGGTACATTTAATATTGTCTTTAATTTAATTCTCATTATTTTTTTTGGAAGCTATGTTCAGTAAATATCATGTTTTACAGATGATACACAAACCAACCTTGCCAAGCACTTGCTGAAGACTGTTTGTACAGATATCACTAATCTGATTTTCAACTTCTTAGCTGCTGACTTAATGATGGCAGTAGAAGATCCTACTACCATAACAAGTGAGGTATGTTAGTCTTTCTGCTACTCCAGAGGTATAGTGTATAGGAATTTATTTGGAGGTAATATATGCTGATTGTTCCAAAGATTAACATCATGCCTTTTCCATCTATTAATAATAATAACTATGAATTTGGGGTTACATATTTTTTATTCCATATTTAAAACATATCCTAACCTATTGTTTTCCCTCTAGGTAAGAAAAAAGATTTTAGTTAAACTTTCAGAAGAGACTAAAGGTCCTCTCACAAAGCTCCATAACTCTCTGAATGAAAAAGTAAGTGAATTTAAAGCTATTAGTATTCTGGGCCTAGAAGTCTTTGTTGACATTAAATTAGTATGATAGTGCTTTATAAATATTTTTCAATATTATTATTATTAGTGAGACTCTATATAACCATGAACTACTTTAATATGTTAAAATTGTTTCTGACATTTAAGCAGCTTAAAAGAGACAAAGAGATAGATATAGTGATAACTTTTAAACATAAGCCTTAGGCCAAATGTCTGATTTAACCAAAAGTTAAAAACAATCCAGGTTTTTAAAAATAATAAATTATGCTTTCCAACGTCTTTGTTCTTATGTATTTATATCCCTAATAACGTACATTAATATGTGGTACTCTGTGCCTTTCTTTAGAGCTTAGAAGACTTTCTTTCTTTTCTGGACTCTGCAGCAGATGCTTGTGATATTATGGTGAAAAAGGGAGACAAGAAAAAAGAAAGGTATTACCTAATTTATCCATCTGTGGTGAACATTTCTCTAACTGTACCTCTTAGGATGAGAATGATATGACCTGAGAGAAAACCTGACTTCCCCTTAATTAACTTGATCATCATCATAGTTAAAGCCTAATACTCTTATGATACCCATATACTTTTCATGCACTTTATTAAATGCAATAATCTATAGTCAATAAAGCCCAGAAATCTTTCTGTCCTGATGTACAGTTTTCTTTATCTACTTTCTAGAATGGTTTTTCGCGTCTTAGTCTCTTTATTCATATGAGATTCTCCTCTCCCACACTTAGTTAAATGTTACAGAATTAAGTTGTTTAGGCAACTAAAGGACTAAAAATTAAAGCCAAAGAAAGCACACATTTTAATTGGGGATCAATAAAAACTTTCAGTGCAAAGCAAATAAAGCTTTATTTTGTTGTTGTTCAGGCATTTCAATCATGTCTGTTTCTTCGTGACTCCATTTGGGGTCCATCTTGGCAAAGATACTGGTGTGGTTTGCAGTTTTACAGGTGAAGAAACTAAGGCAAATAGGATTAAGTGACTTGCCCAAGATCATACAGTTTTGAAGGGTGAAAGGGTGAAATGACTGAGGAAAACAAAGGTTTGATCTGCATATGTCAATTTATAAAGCAGTACTAGCCAATTTCCTATTAAAGTGGGAACAGACTTCCTCAGCTTGGGCCTAGACCCTGAATGCAGGGAGAGACAGACTTTTATACCTTAAAAACAAATAAGGCCAATTAATGAAAAGGAAACACAGTGCAACATAAGGTAATCTGATTTCTAATTGGATAAAAGATTAGGGACTTTCCACATTGGGAAGGGGAGAGTAAACAAGTATAATTCCCTGAATTCAGAAAAGGAATGTTCTACTTCCCAAGTATCTGTAAACAGTCAAAGGGACATTTAAACAATAACTGGTCAATCAGTATAGGACTAGTTTTCAGATAAGATGTATGGGTTGCTTGAGATGTACAATTTTGAGAAAACTCCTTGTATCAGTCTTTGGATCTGAGTTTCTGGTCAACAAAGCCTAGGTTTCCCAGCCACTCAGGGCTAGTTCAAACAATGCAATAAAGTTTTCTCACAGGATAGAATTGAATAGAAATGGAACTAAGCTAGCTTCAGAATTGAGTCACAAGATAGAATCAGTGTAGTTCACTCAGTTTCCACAGTTAACACTGTGTTGTCTCAGTCCTCTCAATAGCTGGTAAGTGTTTGAGGCCAAATTTGAATTCGCGTCCTCCTGACTCCAGGCACTCTATACACTGTGCCATGTAGCTGTCCCCAAGCTTTATTTTACATATGATAAAATATGGTAGTATAACTAACATTTTTTTTCCTTAGGCAGGTACTATTCCAACACAGACAGGCGCTGATTGAACAGCTGAAAGTTACAGAAGACCCAGCTCTTATCCTACACCTTACCTCAGTTCTGTTATTTCAGTTCTCAACTCATTGTATGTTACATGCACCTGGACGATGTGTACCACAAATCATTGCTTTTCTCAGCAACAAAATGCCAGAGGTAGGTATTCATTTTAGTGTATTTAACATTTTATTTCACAGTTTTCAGATCTGAACTAATTTATTGAGTGATTATTTGCCTTATATGTCAAACATATATATTATTAACATATCTTTGCCCATTTCAGCATTTCTGAGAATATCTTTAGTAATTCTACAGGTTTATTTTAAAAATAGAATTTAGCTGCTTATTTCCTTTTCTGTCAATCACTTTTGTCAATTTCCCTTCTCTTCCCCATTTAGGATCAACATTCTCTTCTGGTCAGATACCAAGGCCTAGTTGTGAAGCAGCTGGTTAATCAGAGTAAGAAAACTGGACAAGGAGATGACCAGTTGAATAACCAAGTAGACAAAGAGCATGAAGATGCTAATAATGCCATTCGAAAGGAACTTCAAGAAATTTCCACCTCTATCAAGGACCTTGTCCTCAAATCCAGAAAATCTTCTGTAACAGAGGAGTAATGATTTTAATTTAATTTGAAATTTTTTGTATAATCAATTAATTTTTTAAAGAAATGGTTACAAAACACTTCTCAGTTGAGTGTTTCAGCATTGCCTTCTGCAGCTACTTCTTTTTCTAGAAGCTGTGTGAAATCTCTCCTACCAGCATACTGTATGTTTTTATCCCAGTCTTCTGGTAATGAGATGTCCTTGTTTTTGAAATGTGTTATCCAAAGAAAATTTCTCGTTTAACATTATAACTAGCAGTTATGATTTGCACGTTTATCATTGTCTTTTCAAATTGTAACTGAATAATCCCTTTTCTTTTGTTCCTTGTAAAGTCATAATGCCAGATTACAAGTGACATTTGCAGCTTCCAGTCATTGTAAGTAGTATATGCAAACTTAAAATGTGTTCTTTTTATGATAAGCTTTTTGTTGTTGTTGTTGTTGGGGGCCAGGTTTAAGCTTCTTGGTATCAGCAATGGGGATTTTCTAGTATTATCATTATTTGATTTAAAATTAATAGAGGATGTCTCAGATCCAAAAGCCAAAAATACTCTGCTAGATTTTGATTGCATTTTTTTAGGCCATTGTGTTTGTTTCTGACAATTGCAGGATAATATGTCTTTCCCATAAATGAAAACTTGAACGTATGCAGAAATTGTAAAGGTGCCCTTGTACTACTTGCTGTATTCTATCCTCAAAGCCAAGCTGCTGCCTACAGGGTGGAGAGGAGTAGAGAAAGAGCAGGGAGGAGCAAGAAGCACAGTCAGTGTTGGTAGATTCTAGTCACCAGTCTCCCTTGTTCCCATTGTCATTTAACTGTTGTCATTTAAACTGTTACTATAAAAATCAGTACAAGTTTTTTAAAAACCAAATTGGTGCAGTTTCTAGCCACAAATTTCATTTCAAATACTTGGAAGAGGTGTAACTTTTCTTACATTAGAGCTTACTTTGTAGTCTAATGGTTGTGTGAATCATTCAAATTAGCCCCACAATTTGCTGAGCAGCTCTGTCATGGTAGAGAAATTGGAAGGGATATCTGTTTATATATATTTTCCTCAAGGGAATTTAATCATTTTGACTACTTTATGGGATTTAATGGTAAAACTCAATCACAAGCCACAGATACTTTAGTGTTTTACAATCAGCCTGTTTTCATCTGTTATACAATGTTATGAAAACAATGACTTGGCTTTCTTTTACTCCATCTTAGCTCAATTATTGTTGAGGTAAAAGGCGGTTGGTAGAGTTACTGACAGAGCCTACAGACTTACAATCTATTGATACATTGAGTAAAAACTATAATTCAAGATAAGGGATATTTTCATATGACTGATAGAAGGATACCAACTCCTCTGTGCTCACAAACATTATATATTCATTTATATTTTGGTTTACTCAGCTTCAAAAATATTTTGTTTTAAATTGTATAATGGTCACGAAAAATAATCTCGCCAAATAAGCATATAAGTGCATCTGTGAGTATCCAGTGATGCAATTATTGTCACTGACAAAGTAAAAGAGTTAGAAGAAGCAAAAGATAAGAAGAATATTTTTACTGCCTAAACTTTGTTCATGTTCAACCCGTGGCCTCAACTTGCATCAGAATAGTTCTGATCTTCCCCAAAATAAATAAAAATGTCATTTTTATTACATTGATCTGGTTTTTGTAAATAAAATCTGACATTATGTATGCAGATATAATAATTTTAATAAAATCGAAAGGATTAAATGTCTAATTTGTCTCTTGCTGTGAACTAGAAATTTATGGCCTTTCAGTTTTTAAATGGTAATTTCTATTTGGTTCTGCCTATTTTGCTTTTCAGTGCTTGAATTATTTTACCTAGCACTGAGTCAGAATGATTATGAGTTTATTATAAATAATACATTAGAAATACATTTAAATTATATTTGCATTCTGAAAATGATTAAATCATTTTTAAAGAGTTTAACAGGAGATTAATACTCTGTCAATGACAGCTATTTTATATACACTTTTATAAGTCATAATATAGTTCTTTTCAGCTTAGTAGACCACATCCAGATAACTCAGACCCAGAGTGTATTCCAAATGCTTGGGAAGATTTGCTGCTACCTTTTAATATAGTTAACAGAGAAAAAAATCTATAAAGTGCCTATTGAACTTTTTATTCATTTGCTTTTTTAAAAATGTAATTTGATGTTAAAATTTAAAACTTAATTTTCATTTATTAATGCTCAATTCTAATTTAAACAACTTTGAGACCACAAACTTTACATATTTGTGGAAAAGAGTAATTTCAGAGAAGCAAAAGAGACTACTCAAGTAAAGGACAAATGTGGAATTCATCTTTTTCTTATAAATTTGAATCAGTTCCTCTTAGAGTTAGGAAATGAGACTTTCAGATAAACTTGCAAAGATTTTCTCCCCTTTTGAGCAAAACCTTTTAAAATTTTATGTGAGTATCTTTATTCTTTGTCTGATTATGAACTTTTATCCTAGCCAGAGATCTAATATATAATTTTTCCCGTATTTTATACCCAGTGCCACGTCTCAAACTATACTACACAGCATTAGGATATTAAACAATTTGGTACACAACATACAAACTCTTTTGGGATAAAGACTCACTACTTGACAAAAACTATTTCACTATTATTAGTTTTACTTTGTTACAGGAGACTTTTCATGATGGAATAGTCTATAAATGTTTTTAATGTAAAAACAAAACACATCAGTAAAATTTAGGAAAAAGAACAAATACAGAATTACCCAGAAGCAGTACTGAAACATTTAACTAAAGCTGAAGCAACTGAAATTTGGGGGGGGGGGTTTCCCCATAAACTGACTCCTATTTAGATAACTCATTGATACTATCAATTACTCTGAAATATAAATTAATCATAGCATTGGCCTTAGGGGCAGCCTGGACCAGGCAAGTCAGACTGCCACCTATCTTACCCACTATCTTCCCTCTGCCCTTGTTAAGATAGCACATCACCCTGAGGCCAAGAGCCTTGGGAAATACAGTGCACTGCCCCCCCCACCCCCCCCAAGCCATCTTTGTGAAGATGCAACTTGCCTTCTTCATCCTCAGCAGCAACTACTGATCAACTTCTGCCAGCAGGTAAATGAGCAATAAGAGCCCTGGAAGTGGCAGCACCCTCCAGGCTCTTGGTCCTGTGAGAAAGCAACTCCTGTGTAGAGGGAGGCGAGCAAACCTAGCTAAAAGCAGTGGGACCTACTGAGGAAGAAGCACATGCTAGACAAGTTGAACCACTACTACCATCTCCTTGTAGACCCAGGTTTAGGTGGGTGCCTGTATTCATCCTTGTAAGTAACACCTGTCTAAATGTCCTTTACCTCTTTCCACTTCTGTGGAAACCCTGGCTTTACACTCTGGGTATTTGCCGTGTGTTCAAAAGACAGCCAATGCAACCCCAACGCCTCAGGAATTGGAACCTGCCAAGGGCCTCGACCCTATAGCACTAGCTTTGGGACTGCAAAGCTTCAAGCTCCCTGAAGAACCTAAGGAACAAAAGAAGTGATACAGGACACTGTGTGTATGGGGGAGCTGTACAGCGGTTCACTAAGGCTGAAGGAGCACAGCATCCAGCTGAGGCCCGTTCTGGCCACCTAAAATCATTTGGGGCAGAGACCTAGGCTGGAGAACCATGAATTGCCCAGCACAGAAGGAGGCTGAGATGCTTTGAGATTCATACCCGAAGGAAACCACACAGAGGAGTAAAGTAAGCAATAGGGGAAAATAAGGGGAAAAAAAGAGAAGTTACCAAAGATTTTAGGAAGAAGAAAACTTAGAGCACCTTGAACATAAGCAGATAAATCAACAGGGAAAACTAATTTGATAAGACTGAGGACTCTGTGGAATTTGAAGAGAATGTGGAACCATAGTAAGCTATTCCTTCCTGGTTCAAAAGAGAAATGAGAATTATGAGAGAAGAATTTATGGCCCGCGTAGCAAAAGTTATGGACAGAATAGAAATACTGGAATCTCCAGTGGCAAGTCTTACCACAGAAACAAAAGAGGGAACAATAGCTTAGGAATTCAAATACACAGAAGTCAAGGACGGTGTAGAAGAGAAGCCAAAAAATCAGTAACATTAAAAGAAAATATTCCCACAATGAAAGACAAATATAATGTTCTTAAGGGCAGGATGAGTAGAGACAATCTAAGGATCCCAAAAAACCTTAACACTACAGTGCAGAAGTTAATAGAAATGCCACCCAACTTCTGAACAAAGAAAATGAAATACCAATTTAAAGAATTCACAGTTTGCCTTCAGGGGGGAAAGAAAAAGGCTCCAAACTCCAAGACATATGATGGTTAAATTTGACAGTTCAGTTCAGAAACAAGTTCTCCAAGCAATCGGGAGAAAGGATTTCAAATACAAAGGAATGGAACTTTCAAATAATAAAAGACTATTCAGCACTCGTTAGAAAATGAAGGAGGTATGGATAATATGTTTCAAAGAGCAGTGGAATGCAGGATGCATCCCAACGTGGTCTAGCCTGAAAACCTGAGCTTAACAGTATAGGGGAAAAGATGGATGTTGAATAATAAAGCATTTGAAACATTTTTGGAAAGAAAACCAAAAATAGACTATTTGCTTCTTGGAACACCCCACACAACAGAAATACAGGAGTGAATAGTGGCAGTAGCCAAGAATATGATAGCAGAGAAATTGCTAAGAGATTCTTTTCTCAATGCAGACAAGGGGATATGGGTGAAGGCAGAAATCAGTTGGAGGTAACAGCAAAGAGGCAGTAGGGACATTATAGACAAAACCTGGTGACACCCTGGCTACAAGTGAATCATTGCATCTTTCATGGGACTACATTACAACATGGGAAGTTGCATGAAAGGGGAAGAGGAACAGGACTAGTTGAAGGGGAGGAGAGGAAGGGAAAAATCAACTGAGAGGATAAAAGGGAGAAGAATTAATCTAGATAACAGCAGGAGAGGAAAAGGAATTGTCAAGATATTAGGAGACACCCTGTTTTCTGGAGCTAAGACCCAGCAAGCAAGCTGTACCCTGAACTTGGTATAACAACAATCCTTTGGGTTCACCGTCCAGATGACCTCACCCTCTGGCAAAATCACATGATTATTGTCATTGCTTTGACCAGCACCAGGTGTGGTGTATCCATGTTCCAGTCATGAAGCTCTGCTATGAATCAGACTTGTCTTGTTGCTGTTACCCCTCATTGTCAGGGCTACAGCTCACTTGTGTAGCCATTGGTATAAGTATTGCGGTTTAGCCACACTAGAGCAGGTTCCCCCACTGGGGTGGAGAGGCTGGCATGTGTGTCTATTTTGCCTCCTTGCTTGCAAGCCATTTCCCTCACTTTGAAATTAAGCTGTTGTTTGAATCCTGACTCTCCTGTTTGGCTCTGGCCATCCACAGGTTAAAGGCCAGTTTGGTCTGGTTGACATTATTTGATGTCAGAAGTGGGAACTTGTGTGTGTGTGTGTGTGTGTGTGTGTGTGGTGTGTGTGTGTGTGTGTGTGAGTGTTTAATGGTGTCTGTCTCTAGGGTGGGGGAGAGGGAAGGGGAAAAAAAAAGTTATGTGATAACTTTACTGTATATTTAAAAGGAAAAACAAGTAGTACATAATAGATTTGCAGTTTCATGTGCAGTCCTCTTTTTCTATTCTACTTTGTTGTGGAAATGCTTGTTTTATTTCGTAAGCTTAGAATTTTAAAAATGTAATGGGGAAATTATTTAACAAAATAAACACTGGGGCAGTTAGGTGGCGCAGTGGATAGAGCACCAGCCCTAGAGTCAGGAGGACCTGAGTTCAAATCTGACCTCAGACACTTGACACTTACTATTGTGTGACCCTAGGCAAGTCACTTAACCCCATTGCCTAGCCCCCCCCAAAAAAATTAATAAAACATTAAAGAACCCAAATTACTCTAAAAAATAGAGAAAACATCTCTACCAAAGTCCTTTTATGGGACAAATATGATCCTAATACCTAAACTAGGGAAAGATAAAACACAGAGGGAAAAAAAAAAACCTATAGGCTAATATCATTAATGAACATCAACTCAAAAAGTTTAAGCAAAATACTATCCAATATAGCAATTTATCCAAGAAATCATTATAATCAAATAGAATTTAGATTAGGCATGTAAGGATAGTTCAACATAATGATTTTAAAAAAGCAAAACATCCTAAACCACATGATCATCTCAATAGATGCAGAAAAGGCCTTGGACAAAGCACGACACTTTTGTACTTAAAAAAAAAATTACAAAGATGCTTACGGGTTCCTTTTTTTAAATAGAAGCATCTATCTAAAACCAAAAGCAGGTATCATATGCACAATGAGAGATGCCCACTGTCCCTATGCTTTTGGGAATGCTAACAATAGCAGTGAGACACTTGGGAAATAAAGGAGTAAAGAGTAGGTAAAAGTATCCCTGTTTGTTGCTGATAGGATGGTTTACTTGGAAAATCTTAGGGAATTAGCAAAGATACTAATTGAGACAACAACTTTAGCAAAGTTTCAGATTACAAAATAAGTCCTCAAAAATCAATAGCATTTCTACATAATAAAACCCAGTAAACAATAATAAGGAAAATCCCATTCCAAATCACCACAAAATGCATAAAATCTCTGAGAATCAAGCTCCCAAAGTACATGCAC